ATTTGTCTACTTAGATCTTGCAGCTGGGCAGAGTAAGGGATCGGCTCCTTGGACGGCTATTGGATCAAAGTTACTTGACTTCATTGATCTAGAATATATACCCCCGGCTTGGAGATCAGTAAATGGAGAAGGTAACAACTTTTACAAGTTTCTTGATCCCTCCAAATTCCCGATGGAGATGGTCACTGAAGCTCTCCAGTTTTGGTATGAACGTCAAGAACAACACAAAGTCGCCTTTCGATTTAAATCCTTTCTTGAAGGGAAAATGCTGCTGGAAGCACCTCCACGAAGGAAAATCAAAGTTCACGTTCCTAAACCTCATGTTCATAGTGTTGGGAAGGGCAAGAAGCCTTGCAGAAGCAAGGGTCAAAGGAGAGGCCGGGCAGCAACCGAGTCACCATCAGATGAGGAAGCCAGGCCAAAGAGAAAGGAAGGGGTGGAAGATCAGCAGTTCAATGACAACAGTTGGAAGGATTTGGATGTGGACAAGCCGGCCAAGAAACAAACCGAACAGTTTTCTAAGGATCAGGGCAGTTAGTAGGAATCACCCACCAACACTGAGAGGCCCGACAATACAAACAGGCCATAGTTGATGGTGCCTGCTGATGGGCCGATGAGGGCCAATAACCCTGTGTTGATGAATTGGCCGATGTGATCCCACTATCAAGGTAAAGAAGGGTCGGCCAGCTACGTAGATTTAGCATACACCGATCAGTAGGAAGCTGCCCCGGGAAGTCAAGTCCCTGTATTTGTATATCGGCTGATAGCTAAGCTATGCAAGGTCAGCTGACAGTTTTGAACATTGTATTTGTATATCAGATAGTTAAGCTATGCAAGGTCGGCTGACAGTTTTGAACATTGTATTTGTATATCGGCTGATGGAAGATGCAAGGTCGGCTGACAGTTGTGAACGTTGCTGGGCTGGTGATCGGCCGAGGGCCTTCACTTCTGATTAGCAGCTAGGCTATGCAAGGTCGGCAGACATTTTGAATTCGCCTGGGTTGGTGGTCGGCCGAGGGCCCTCAACTCTGGTTACCAGGGTCAGCTGGCGAGACCCACATGGTAGTCATGGTTCATGGATATCACCGAGTCGGCCGGACACGAGAATTTATGAACATCTCATCAGCCGATGCATCACCGAGGCCGGCATTTTCAAGCCGAATCGTTTTCAGCTTGGCCTTTAATTTAGCAGCCAAGCAGAGGCAGACCAGG